TAATGATTTTTTAGTTGTTCATTTATCCTTTTCTTTTTGAAAGGTAACATTAAGCTACTGCAGTGGTCATGATGCTTTTACTATGATTAGTAATTTGGTTAGTTTTTAAGTAAATGGTGAATATTACTTTATGTTGTTTTAGATTATGGTGCGAAAGAAGTCAAGAGGTTTTCTTTGTGCACATATGACATATGGTTACTCTACCTCTCTGGAAGAATCTGAGGTCTGATTTGATTAGAATTCAATCCTTCAAGTTTAAGTCAAGTGACATAGGAGGCATCTCTACTTCAAAATACCAAGTGTTCACATGAAATAATGTAACAGTCAATTTATTGAGGGACATGTTAAGGATGCGGGTTAACTTGGAGCTTATAGACTTGAGATGATGTGGGGTTGCACCAAATAACATGTCAGTAGCTCCAAATCCTCCAATCTTCATTAATATCTATATCAGGACATTATATCTCACACTTCTATCCATTGTTGGTTCAACTTGATAGGTACCTCCTCTCTTGGAGACTGGGAAAGCAAAAAAAAAAAAAAAAAATTAACCAAACCGGAGGCCCGGCCCGGACCCGGTGGCTACCCGGGCCGGTCCCGGGCCTTCCTTCCCAAAAAAAAGCCCGGCCGGGCCCGGCCCGGATCAATGACTAGATGTTATCAGATCACAAGGTACTTGACAATAGACTTGTTAGGAACTTGATGTAACATACCTTGTAAGTACGTCATCGGAAGTTTAAATTTTTCCCAAACAGATCATCCCTAATTATGACAAAACAACGCATATAACAATAATAACAGATCTGAGTTAGAACTTACAGATCTTCCAGCCTAGTGGTGATAATCTTTGACCTTAGCTATCCACGCGATTTCTCTTTTCCGAAAGAACGGTTAGATCTCTCATAGAGAAAGGCTAGGAAATCTCTTCGCAGGCAAATAAACTAGTAATACTGAATCTAAAATTGGTCTATAAATTATGAAGGAGGAATGTGTATTTATACTAGTTCTAAACTAGTTTCCCAATCTTAACTAAAGTCTCACTCATTAATAACTTATAGTCCTATCAAGACAAATACTCCTTATTAATGATTTAATTAAATAAAGAAAACAAAACAAACTAACATTAAGAGTGAAGTGGCTGGGACGCCACTTTCACTCATTATTATTATTTGTTATAATTTCTCTTTTCTTTGTAATTCTAAATCACAAAAGAAAAACCAAATTTATTTAATTAAAAATATATCTTAATTAAGTATAATAAATCTAATTTATTACCCTTCATTAATTCTATCAAATAGAATTCTCCTTCAACATTATGAATTAAATATATTAATCTAATTAATATTTAACTCATCTTATTTTCAGCATTATGAATTGAATATCATTTAATCCAATCAATAATATTTAATTCCTTCTTACAATTCAATCGAAAGGTATAATCACCTGTTGTGTGACCCATATGACCTTATATATTAAGCACTAATCAAATCAAGGTCTTACTAGAATCCCTAGACTATTTACCAGACAAACTTAATATATAAAGACATTTGTGAGGACTATTCAAACTCCCTGTAATATAGAGCTCATAGTAACACGGTCCTTTCATTCAACGAACATTCAACTAAGTCTAGAACATGATATTGTGTCTATTCCAATAACTTAGTTTCTGTCTCTCAATCTTTCTAGATGATCCATAATGATCATATTAGATATCCAAAACGAATATATCTTTGCATTGGCCAATGACTTTATGATCCATCTAGATATGAGAAGTAGAATGTTCTCTCTTAATCTATTACGAGGAATGAATCCTTTCTTGGCTCAACTACTATTCCATGTGCTTCGTGATGCACCCAACACATGCCGTATCTACTCCGATTGGAGTGCAAACGTTGGCCATGGTCAAAGTACATCACTCCGCACATGTAGTACGTATTGACCTCAAGTCGAAGGACTATTACACTACCCTATACACTGATAATCCCATAGACACATGAATAAAACTTATCAAATGGTTTCTCGGTGGATATGCCAATATCTTCTAAAATATCTATGTGACCATCATGAATTACAGGAACTCATAGTTGTGAGATCAACTATACTTTCTAAAAGTATGATGCAGTCCACATACCACTCTTATCGCATATCATCAATATCCCTTTCTTGATGATCATTGATTGGGACTATTTTAGGACCTTATGTTATATCATATAAGCTCTCACTTACTTATTGACAACATAAGTCCAAGAGAACACATTTGTGAATAAGATATTGACAATCGAAATACTTAATCATTAATGTGTAATACCGTATATATCAAATATATAAAAATGCATGTGATCAAGTACATATATCTCTAAAAGTGATTGTCGCTAGGACATATATATATACTAACAAGACTCGCTATCTACCAGCTTGTAATTAAAGTTTGTGTTGGAGTGTGGGGACTTCAGGGATGATGTGTCATCATCTTCTGCACAAACAGACCTCCAATGCATAGTATTCTGGGATGGCAAAAACCCTTCCCTCCATATTTTAATAAGGAAATTATCCAAACATGAGTAAAATATATTAACAATCACAAACATGACTATATAGTTTAAAATAGTCTAAATAGAACTAATCATTGTGTCTGGACAAATATACCCCTATAATAATTTGGAATGCTCAGCCACCACCGTCTGCCGCTGGTCATAGCCGCCTAGTTAGCTTTTTCCCGTTTAAAACGCGTTTTAAACACGTACCGTTTTTTTGAACAAAAAAACGCGTTTAAAACGAAAAATAATGTCGGTCCGTTTAAAAAGGAAAAAAACTCCTACTTCCCGTATAAAACGTATTTTTTCCGTATTTTACAAAAAATAAAACATGAACTGATCAATTGAATTAGTGCATTAAATGCATAGGAGATCAACAATAGCTTAAAAGCAACAAAGGAAAACCTCTCCACCTGATCCCATGTTTTTTGTATTGTTACAATGCAATTATTATCACTAAAATTATTTGCATGGCGGCTAAAGCTAGCTCTCTAAAAGACCAAAACTTGAAATACTATTGAATTTATAATGTTTTTCCAATCAATCATATCAAAATTCAAGGTTTTCTAAATCTGACATATTTTTAGTATAAATTTTTACACATAAACAATAATAAGCGTAACAGTCGCACATCGTACTTTTCTCATATGTCATTCATTAATTGATGAAAATAATGAATTTGACTTAAGTGTTATTTGATGATCATATAAAGACAATGATTGTAACTTAGTCTCATTCTATTGTTATTAACTTATTATTCCTCATTTTTTGACTTTATTTTGCAAAATTATGTCTTCGACTTAATTGCTATTTTTATTTTGTTCATCGACTTATGAAATAATAAATTATTCTTTTATGTGGTAATGAGATTTGCTACTTAAATATGTGTATATTTTTATTTGTTTTTACTATATATCTTGTTTTGTGAATTATATACTACCTCCGTCCCGGTGGACTTTGCCAAGTGCAAAGTGATTGAGTTTTTGCATAGGAGAGAGAAATGTGCAGAACCACAAATTAGTTATTACTTTAATAGGAAAATGACAAAATTTTTTAGAACAATCAATAAAGGAAAGTTGGCAAAGTCCAATGGGATGGAGGGAGTACTTTAAATGTTCAAAATAATACCCCGTATTTCTTGTCCGAATTTTTGTAACATAAATCGTATTATACACGTATACGCATTCACACGTTTTTTAAAAGTCAACGTATTTTTCAACGAATTTTTGACCGTCTTTTTCATTCTTGTTACCGAATAAAACACGTACGTATTAAACCTCGTTTAATTCCCGTACCGTATTTAACTAACTATGCATAGCCACCGGCCATCGCCCAGCAGGCCCTGCCGGCTGCCACTGCTGTAATCCAGCAAAAATTTCTAGAACAATTTGTCAGTCATTTTCACGTGCGGGAGACTCACAGGAGCTCCGCCATCGCTGCCGTACTGCCCCACCATCAATGGATTGTTCCGCCACCAACGGACTGCACCACTTGCCCAATGGAACTAGGGGGAAATCGATTAATTAGGTTAATTAGGCGTATTAGTGGTAGAAAATTAATGTTTAGTCCTATTTGTAAAAGGTTTAGATTTTAGTCCTATTTGTGCAATTATATTTCTATTTAGTCTTATTTAGAATATATAATTTTTCCATACTACGGAGTATGTTGTAATGACACTCAAAATAGTGCAAAAATAACTAACACCATTACCCCCCCCCCCCCCCCCCGATTTCCACCCGAGGCCTAAGCACCCGTCTTTTCCCGGAGTTCCTTTAGTTGGTTCCATCACCTCTGTTGTTCAACTAAATTTACTCCCTCTGTCTCAATTTGATTTGCAAATTTCATATTTTGATTGTTCCAAAATGGTTTTCCGCTTTCTTTTTTAGCTACTACCTCCGTCCCAAAAAACTTTGCCATTTTCAAAACTTTGACCGATTATATCTTTTTATTGAAAATTATTTATAATATAAAAATTATATGAAAATGTTCTTTGTTAAAAGTACTTTCATAAAAGTATAAAATTTATAGCTTCCATAATATTATATTAATCAAAATTAAGGTTCAAATTTTTGGAATTGGCAAAGTTTTTTGGGACGGAGGTAGTATGTAAATAAGAATAAAATTACTACCTATACAGACAATTGTGCAGACAATTGTAGATAATTTTTAAATTTTTTCTAAATAAGCTACTTGTAAGACAATTAAGAGCATCTCCAATGCTACAATGTGCATAATGCACATGTGACATGAGAAATAGTCACATAAATATTATTAAATAATTTATCACTCTTCTTATTTGAATGATTTTATAACTTTTTCTTGACAATGTCAACCATAATGTCTATATCTAGACGGTCTCATGACATTGCAGAGAAAAACTTACCAAAATTGTATTAATTCATTCATACAAGAAGAAAGATAATTTATTAATTCATATTTATGCGGCTATCTCACATGCCACATTGTACAAATGTACTCGGTAGTAGTACAATTTTTTTGTACAATAAATTTTTTGAATTGTTAAACGCCAATCCCCTTCTTTCTGGGTTTCTGTCCCAAAAGAAACAGTTTCTGGAGACTGGAAATTGAAATGGAGGACGCGGAGGAAATACTGAGGGTGTTGGAATCCTCTTTGTCCCAGATCAAATGGCGCCTCAAGCTTTCTTCTAAGCGTCGCCTAGAAACTGGTTCTTTCTATCTATATACTATCTACTACGTATTTATTATCTCTCTCTAGCTTCCTTATAAATATGATTTCTACTGACAAAGCAGCAACTAAATGTTTCTTTATTCTTATTAGCTAATCGATTCCTGCACATCTGATCAGTTTCGTTGGTTCAATTTTGCTTATCAAAGCTTTTAAATTTCCTCTCTTTTAAATGAATGACTCTTTGATTTCATATGGTTTAGAACTTTATTTATATATGGTGGGAACTTTTATTTTCGTGTGAGCTAATATCGAAAATAATTTGGTCAGACATTTTGGCATTGTGCTCTGAGATGCGACCCGTTGTGATGGTGGATTATGGTGGAAGGATGCCAGAACTTCAACACAGGCTTTGTGCTTCCCTTAAACATTGCAGAAATGTTGGCCTCTGATCTCTGTTTGTGTATCTTATCTTTAGAAGTCCATTTCTGTTCCCTCTTCATTTTTATTAAACCTGAACCTGTTTTGGATTTAATCAATATCCCAAAAAAACCCTTTCTTTATCTTTTAATGTACGAATCAATATTGTCCTGCATATGAATGTTAAAGTAGCCACTGCAAAAATATTAAGGGAGTGTTTGCAAACGCTTAAAAAAAGCGCTTCTTGGCTTTTGGCTTAAAAAAGCTAAAACGAGTGTTTTCAAGTGACAACTTTCTACTTAAAAAAGCGCTTCTAGGCTTTTGGGTGAAAAGTGCCTTTTACTTTTTCTATTACACAAAAAGCACATATTTTACCAAACACCAACAACTTTTACTTTTCAAAATCACTTTTTTCTCAAACACTATCAACTTTTACTACTAATCACTTTTTTCCAAAATCACTTCAAAAAGTGCTTTTTTTAAAGCAAAAGCATTTGCAAACACTCCCTAAGACCTTTAGGAAGGCACTAAATGAAATTATTCATCAATTCGATTAACCCAATGCTGTGATATGTTGTACATTGTTGACATTAGAGTTTTCTTGCGAGTCGACAATTTCAGCTGTTTTTAGAATTTTGAGCTGTTGTTTTTTGAAAATTTAGTAATGTTTAGGAACATTCTTTTCTGTTTTTGTTTTCTCCACAACATGACATAAACTTCCACTGTTTTTAAGGTGTTGGTTATTTCAAGTTTATCATTACATTTCAATAGTTTAGTTGAAGTATTCATACAACACCGTATAGTTTAAAGTTTTCCTGTAACGATTTGAAGTTTTCTTACTATTATTTGAAAACTGTTTTCCTTTTAACTGTATTCGTACTATTGTTTGAAGTTTTCCTTTACAATTTTCAGGAATCTTCTGCATTTGAGAACCTGCGAGTTATGATTATTGAAGACATGATTTATCTGGTTCACCTTAAAGCATTTCATGAATTCAGTAAATTGAGCTTGAACCTAGAAATGGAATTTCTCTTTATAGATCTTGAGCATGATCCTCCAAAGGTTCACTTTGTGTCTCTTGTAATATAATTTATTTATCCTTATTTACTTTTTTCATTGAGAATTGCTAAATGTAATTACTTCAGATGATAACAAGAGCCACTGATGAGAGACCTGGAATTATGGCACTTGTGATGGCACAGAGAATATTTTCATCCCTCCTTTCTGAAGGGGTAATAAGTTGTAATCATCCAGAACATTCTAGTTCAGATTTGATGGCTAATAATAGGCCACATAGCTCACAGACATCTGAGCTTATTGATCTCAGTAGGGACATTGAAGAAACTGGGGTCACTGTGCCAACACTTAATGGGTAACCTCTCTTTTCCCTAGAATTTCTCTTATTAATCTGTTTTATGATAGCCCTGTATGAGGTGTTATGTACAGGCTATCCTTAATCTGAGTCTTATGCTATGGTTTTCAACAGATTTTAGACCATTAAATTGCAATATAAAATTTATGCCCAAAGCCCTTTCATACCCAACTCTGAGTAAGGGCTTGTTTGCAATCACTTAAGAAAAGTGATTTTTGCTTTTTTTAAGAAAAAAACACTTATTTTACCAAACACTACCAACTTTTACTTTCTCGGTTTTCGTGTAGAATCTACTTTTTACTTTTTCTATTACACAAAAAGCAGTTATTTTACCAAACACTACCAACTTTTACTACTAATCACTTTTTCCCAAAAAGTGCTTTTATTTAAGAACAAGTGGTTGCAAACAAAGCCTAACACAGTTTCATGTCTTCTCTCATTATTATCCATAACATTGATGTTGCGTTGATCATTGTCATGCTGCAGATTTTTTCATACAAAGAAGTAAACACTTTTAACTGCCTATTCCCTATGTTTGTGATAAACTGCTATGCCGCTCAGTTGTGGTTTTTTCTTTGTCCGTTGGTGACTCATATTCTTAATTTAATTTAGATTTTTTTTATAACACGTGAGTTTCAAGTAATTAATTGAGGTATTGTTCTGTTTCTATGAAGATGGCTTCTTGGATATCCTGTAGTATATCTATTTGGCAAGGATCATATTAAAGATGCCATATATAATCTCTCCACCAAGTCCCTTCATCTCTTCCAAATTTTAGCCTGCAGGTTAGATCATGCTTTAACAATTCTTTACAGAAGACTAGCATTTTGCTGTGCTATTACATCATCTATCCTTGAAAGCAACGTTAAATCGAAGGATCACTATGTTGACCTTAACTTGTACTTATTCCAGAAAGGGTGCAGGCAATGATCGATCTCAATCTAAAAAAGAAGAATTATTGAGGTAAGTAGGAAGAAATGACACCGCTTAATCCTTTTAGCTAACCCCAGCATAGTGGAAAGCCTTAGTTTGGTTTGGTTTGGTTGGTTTCACAAGAGCATATTTATGTCTGCCAAAACATTAATACCTTCAGATACACAAGAGCCATGGTTTCTTTGTTTAATTTGTTTGGGCCATGTGCCCTCTTCTTGGACAGCTTGATAAACATTTTTTTATAGAAAAAAAAAAACAAATAGATCAGATAAACAATACTTATCAGCCTGGAATTTATGATGAAATTAATTCTCTATGTATCAAACTATCAACTTAATGATCTTTTGGCTTGATTCTCCATTACCAACAGTTTCTCTGTTCCTTATGAACTAAGCTTGGCTGGGAGTGACGAACCATGGGCAAAAGGGTTCTTAGCTCACATGCAAGAAAGGCAAACCAAGCACAACAATGTCTGGGAATCCCTTAGGTTGGAGGTTGTTGCTTGCTATCCACAGGCAATTGCATTTTAGTACAGGCATAAACTTTGTACTTTGTAGTAGTAAAAATGCGGGTGAAATGCATACATGTATTCGAGCGATAATTTAAGGAGCGTGTTTCGAAGGTGGTTTCATCTTGTTTGGTGGTTGGGCAAGATGCAGTCACCTTGCAAAACTTATACTCCCTCCGTTTCAAAATAAACCTCACAGTTTGACTTTTGCGGTCTCCTAGGCGGACGTTTGACCGTAATTTCCTATTAATGTATGCATATAAAATCTATAATAAATTGACATTTGAAAAATACATATTACAATGAAGCACATTATATAATTTTTTTGGGATAAAATATTATTAATTTTGAGTAATAAGCGGTCAAAGTTTAACAAGTTTGACCCAAAAAGTTTGACTGTGAGGTTTATTTTGAAACGGAGGGAGTATTTCTCTTGTTCCATAATTCTCTTCCTATATTTCTCTATAGAAGTCAAACTTTTTCAAAACATATATTTCTCTTGTTCCATATTTCTCTTCCTATTGCCTCGTTTCTTTTTAAAAACTTCTGTGTCATTGATATCATATGTTTCCTTTTAAAATCAACCATTAATATATAGTTTTACTTTTCTTATAAGTGTCCCTAATCAGACTTGAAAGAAAATTTTGAGACAAGAGGGGAGTATTATTAGAAACATTCATACAAGCATATTGTAAACGAAATTTAAAAATCTAAAATTAAAAATAATTAGTCCTCTCTGTTTCATAAAAAGAGTCGTATTTGAGTAGCTTATAAAAAAGAGCCATGCTTGATAAAAATTAAAATAAAGCTTATTAAAATTTGAAAAAATAGAAGCTAGAGTAAGAACAAGTTAAATTTACTTAAGGCCCATTTGGTGACCATGTTTTTTTGTTTATTAAGCTTATCAGTCAACTATTTCACTAAACGTGTAACTTTTGATTTCGCGCTTTGAATTGTGTAATAATAGGAAATGGTAAGGTTGAAATTATTTTTTCTGTTTGTATTGGTTGAAGTTTTATAGTAGAGGATCATTTTAGTTATTTTCATATAATTTTTTCTTTATTTTATTAATAAGATATACAAGTACTTTGAATAAAAATTGTTCATAAATCAACATCATCAGCCAATCCAGACAATTCAGTCAGAATTTCATAAATTTCAGCATAATAAACTAATACAGTCTGTTTGTCTAATTGTCTATAATCAAACGAGCTCTTGAAGTCTTGAACTATAAAAAAAGTCTTTAAAGTATATGTACCATTTATAACTTATATCAATGTGTTTTGTGAAAAATAAATATTTGTACTATGTTCAAACATGAGTACATGACTCTTATAAATAATCTGAGTACTTGGAAGGAGTTGGCACTTGGGCTGTGGATGAAAACTGAAAATGATGATTTCTTAAACTTGTATACACTCATATTTGAAGCGTTTTAGACTTTTAGGATGAAAATGCTGGAAAATAAACAGATTCTTAACCAAAATTGACTTGTACGTAAAATAATAAAGTAAAAAATGTGTGGTCAAAATTTGTGTAGAAAAGAAAAAAATATCTTTAATCACATATTTGTTACTTTATATGAAAATGATTTTTTTTAAAACGACATTTTTTTACTAAAAATATTACGGAGTACTCAAAACGTTTGATAAGTTAATTTTTTAAACGAAACAAGGAAAATTGACTATTAAAAACGTAAAAGAGAATCAAACAGCCATTATAAATAAGAAAAATTGACAAGAATAATTTCACCTTTCACGGGTCTTCTCATAATAATTCCACCTTTAAATAATCCCAAAATAATCCCACTTTTGCACCCCATCTTCTTTCATTGGACCCTGACCAAATTTTTTACCTTTTTTAAAAATCTTATATAAATAATCTCACATTTATAAGGATATAATTAAAAAGTGAAAGGTGAGATTATTTGTATAACTTTCAAAGAAAGAGTAAAAAACATGGTCAGGGTCCAATGAAAGAAGATGAGGTGCAAAGGTGAGATTATTTTAGGATTAGTTAAAGATGAGATTAATTATTATGAGAAGACCAGTGAAAGGTGAGATTATTCTTGTCAATTTTTCCATATAAATATACACGAATTGAATATTTTCGAAAAAGTTGAAGGGGGACCCTCTGCAACCCCTAACTCTGTCTATGGCCCCACAAAATTGCATTTGTGCAATTGTGCCAGACACCTCAATTACATTACATGCTTCTTATAGCATGTTTACCCGATCCATAGGATGATAGAAATAGAAGTGTTTCTTATTGCATGGAAGGATTACAACTTTCAGTAGATCAAAAGTCTGTGTTCACAGAGGATGCTAAATAATGGCGATTGGATTCCAGCTTTTTAGAATCAATGAAGAATCTGACCATTTTAAAATATCTGTTTTGTCATTTTCGAAGGTTGTCCCTGATATCATTATCAACAATCAATTCCCCGTGGCTTTGAGTTTATTTTTATATTTTATATAATTATTTAATTATGGATACTGAATTTTATTTGTTTGACATTCTGCATTTAGTACTCTCACGATTCTCATCCGTCAAACTTCATATTCAAATATTATGACATCTCGTATTAGACGTCGGCTGAAAAAGAAAAGCATCAAAATGAGGGTTACTACTAATCATGGCCGTCTCTGGAATTTTGGTCCCTAGACAATAAAAAAAAGTAATTTATTGTTATCGTGAAAATAAAATGTTTTTGGTTGGACTGATTTGATTTGATCTAGTCTGAATTGGTCTGATAAATGTCTGATCTCTGTGTATTTTATAACTGTTAAAGTCTAATTTGGTCTAACCCGTTTAAAATGAATCTAGTCTTTTAAATATGATCTAATATGTGAAAACATCCTAAGTCTAGTCTGGTCGGATTAGGGGTCGAAAATGATTCAAAGTGAAAACATTCTAAGTCCTAATGTGAACAAAAATATTTGAAGTACTTGGGAAAAACTTAAACGCAAACACTAATATTATCTTGCTTTATTATTTTAAGTTTATTTTCAGAATCGATGTCAGTGAGCTATGGGGGGCTGCCGCCCCTCCGGCGAAAAAAAATTATAGGTATATTTATCCCGAAATTTTTAATATATATGTATTTGTATGTATATTCTTGTACTGCCGCCCCTGCTATCGGGAAATCCTGCGTCCGCCGCTGTCTATGTGGTAGTGCCACGGCACAATGAAAATGTTGGGGTATATCACGTAGGGGGTGATAATCGAGTACTTGGATAGCTTAAGGATCGTGTAAGTTCACTTTCCGAATTAATATTTCTCCCCTGTGCCTGGGTTACAAGAAATTCAATCTAGGATAATCCTTAAGAACACTCTAGAACTTAGGCACAAGAACTAGAGCCAAACTAGTGAGTATATGGATTGTTATCTTTAATTTGAGTGTCAAAGTGATGAAGATATGTTGGATATTATTATTCCTCTACCTCCTCTGTACGAAATATGGTGGTATATGTCCATATTCATCGTCCTAGGCAGTTGTAACACGATTAAGAATAACCGCAGCAGTTTTTGGAAACTGCTGGAAACTGCCTAACCGTTCTAGAACTCGGTCTAGAACCACAGAGCTGGTCTACTGAAAGTTATACCTCGAGTTCTACACTGGAACACTCAATGAGGAAGTGCATCTTCTTCTGCCAGTGGCCTGAAATCATTCCCTTGAAACTTGTCCAATTTGTTGAACTTGGACGTCATCTCTTCCACGGTACTCATGATTATCACAAAAGAAATATCAATTCGATTGTTGGGGTATATCACGTAGGGGGTGATAATCGAGTACTTGGATAGCTTAAGGATCGTGTAAGTTCACTTTCCGAATTGATATTTCTCCCCTATGCCTAGGTTACAAGAAATTCAATCTAGGATAATCCTTAAGGACACTCTAAAACTTAGGCACAAGAACTAGAGCCAAACTAGTGAGTATATGGATTGTTATCTTTAATTTGAGTGCCAAATTGATGAAGATATGTTGGATATTATTATTCCTCTACCTCCTCTGTACGAAATATGGAGGTATATATCCATATTCATCGTCCTAGGCAGTTGTAACACGATTAAGAATAACTGTAACAGTTTTTGGAAACTGCTGGAAACTGCCTAACCGTTCTAGAACTCGGTTTAGAACCACAGAGCTGGTCTACTGAAAGTTATACCTCGAGTTCCAGTAACGTAGACACTTTGGAACTAAACTAGCTCTTATATACAAGTGTGCACTCCACACCTACTAACTTGTATTAGATCATAGTTCTAATTCCCATTGGCACTCATGTCATTTCCAATTACACAAAACGGCCGGTGACACTAAAATGAGAGACGTTAAGCCCGAGGGTGAACTAGCACAGCAAACTACAAAGAACTTAAGTTTATTAGGAATTTGCCATCATCCATGATTACAAGCGATGTAAAAGAATCCCAAACTTGAAAGGAAAAAGATGAAACTAAGTAAAAATAAAAACTAGAGCTGATAAAGAAAATGAATGGAAATGGCAACAGGCAATGAAATCTACTCAAAAAGCTTGCTCAGCAAATAGCTAGGGCCTCAGCTTTGGTAGGAAGGGCAGGGATTGCTCCTTTTTTGGTGGTTGTGATTGCTCCACACGCACATGCAAAACGAAGTACTTCCTTCAGTCTTGATTCATCCTGCAACCCAATCATACCCGCATTGTAAATTGCATAAGCTAAAGTTTTGATATAATAATCCAGGATTCCTATTATTATTTACATAATGATGGAATGGGAAAAACATAAGTTATTAAAGCTAAAGCCTTTTTGGTGATAGATGATGGGAATGGCTCAAAAACAACTACTGCATACTCTGCTTAACTCACTCACCTCAATGATGGAGTGGTCATCGACGATCTTGCACAAAAGGGCACCCACAAATGAATCACCCGCTCCGGTTGTGTCGACTGTCTTGACATGAAATCCTCCCACGGATCCCCGGAAGTTCTACACACATGAAGAAGATGAAATGTTTCATTTGCACCGGGTACTAATAAAGCTTAAAAGTGACAAATGAGGGTTAGAGATCTATTATGATACAATCATAAAATGATGCAAACCGAAGTGCAAAACTAAGTATAGTTAATAGTTGTACTTGCGCCAAGCAAGTTGAGTTCACACATCACTGGTGGGTTCAAAAGTGTAGGCCACTGGTGGGCGTTATTGTTGAACGGGTATATAAATATGTGAGAGTGATTTGCAAGAAAATGACTCAATTACCTAAAAGATTAATTGAACAAGTGTTTTTTGGCAAATTAACTAAAGTAATCTGAGATCTGGATACAGTGGAGGACCTAAGGGGGGGCTAGGTGGGGCACGTGCCCCCGCTTCGAGCCCGGAATTTCACTAGTAGTACTTAGGATAAAAATGAGTGCCCCGGCTTTATATCAGTATTTGATAATTAAGATACTAAAATGTTACGGTTATATAAATAAAAAATTAATACAAAATATTTAAATTTTAGGTGAATTAAAATAAAAGATATAGAATTATCAAAAAAACAAAAAAAATAATAATTAAGAATTGAAAACAAAAAGTTACAAAAAAAAGAGTTAAAATTCCAAAAAAGTAGACACTATGCAGGCAACTAAAACAACGGAGTATTAAAAGTCTAAAAACCCACTAATATTTGGAAGACTAGAATGATAAAAGCCGAAGTTCTCCAAAAACAAAACCTCACGCGGACAGTTTACGAATTACGATTTTAGGGGATGTCGCTGCCTTGGCTCTGGCCTCCGGGGATTTCACTCTCTTGCTGAATTGACGTTGCACCGCCGCACGCCTGCACCGCTCAATCCTCCCATATTTCCTTGATTTGTAAGTTTGTTTTCAATTTATTATGCATTGACGGCACATGCTTTTTAGTTGAGGGATTATTTTAAAAATTAAAATTGTTAGTAATCAAGAATGTTGAGGATTGTTTGTTTACTTGAAATTTGATAGTTTGAATTTGTGAATGCGCTCTAATTAGGGTTAGAGTTCTAATTTGTAAGAGTTTTTTTTCTTTTAATTTAGTGAAATAATTAGGATGCAGAAATTGATTTATTTGGATTTTATTGTATTTGTCTTTTTTTTATTAGGAAAATGAATTTGGATAAATTTGTAATTCGGAGTAAGAGGTGTTTAACTCCAGGAGATGGTTCTTTGAACGTTCCTAATCAGTCTATCTCAAGTAATGCAATTGTTGTTGCTTCGAATGTAAGTACTATTCCAGATGAGTCTAATGACATTAGGGGAGACAAAAGGGCCCGCACAGATAGTACATCTGAGTGGGATATCATTATTGATCCCACATTACGAAAACCGATCAATGAATATGAACATTGATAATGAAACTATTATGCAACATTTTCAGAATATGAAAACTCATAGGCTTGATTTACCCAAGTTGCAGCAGTGAACTATTTAATACGTAGTATGTAATTAACTGTTCTGTATAATTTAATACATTTTTTACCATTTTTATTATATTTGGAGTTTTTATTATAGACTAACTTTAGTGTAGTGTGCCCCCGCTCTCACAAATCTCTGGGTCCGCCACTGTCTGGATATAACAGTAAAAAGAAGTTTAAATATGGCTGATCCTCATTTCAACCATTTAGACAAAAAGTTAAAGATGACAGTAAAAAGTAAAAGGTTTTAATGAATCAAATACCGTGTTCTCAATCTTTTTCTTCTAAATCACAATGACATTATTACCATTGTAATTAACCATGTATTGTCTTAATCCACTAACCAAATACTTTCTTTAATACAGAGTATTCTTGTACGGTTGATTTTTCAATTCATATATTTTTGTTTAATAGAACCAAAAGATGAGAGTACATATATACATGTATTTAAAAGTGCTACGGCAGCACACAAGGTAAGACTTCAACTTCAAAAGGGGCCCCAATTGCTCATTTGTTTGAAAAATCCACCCACCAATTACTGCAACTACTTTAAACAATTTCGTCAAAATGTGCTTTTAAGGCACTAAACGTTGGACGGACGGCAAACTATGTCCATGCGTCTGGCTAAAGTTTGAGGAACAGTTTGGGTAAAGAAAGCCTTGGCTCAATCAGGGTAGGCGGATATTACTTAGAAGTTACAAAAATGATTTTGCTCAGAATAAAATAAAATAAAATCCTGAAAGAGGAAAACAAACCTTGGTATAATATCTGCAACCCTTCTCGCCAAGGGTGACTAGGAGGAGCTTGAGATTGGGATGCCACAAGGACAAAGCAGACTCGTCGTCAATCTTGTCGCTTCCAGTGAGGAATTCAAGCTCGTTATCACTGACCTTGATCACGTCTGCCTTCTCCCATATGCTCATGATCTGGGTGCGTGCCTCCTCGGCCGATGGCCACAATGGTAGCCTTAGGTTTGGGTCATATGAGAGCAAAGCCCCTGCATTTCTTGCTACTTCCATTGCCTTCAAATGTGCTGATCTGCATGGCTCCACTATCAAGCTTATTGATCCGTAGTGGAATACCTTCGCCTACACAACAAATTTAACATAACTCATCACTTACCACTTAGGCAGCCATCCAAATATGACCTAATTGGGTAGCCAAAATTGACTTGTTCTGGTTATCATCGGACTAATCAAAAGTGACTTTTAACTAGCTCAAATGCATTTTACCAAACTTTTGTTTCCAGAAAATTCGTAAATTCAAATATATCAAAAGTGTTTGGATGGATGGAATGGCTTTTGAAATGGAATGACTTGATGGCTTAGTTTATGAGTTTACAAGCCCATTCGGTAACCAAAAGTGATATTTTACCCAAAGTGAGTTTTGAACTACTTCGGTTGGAAAGAGCTTTTCAGGGCATCCTCCTTCACAAGACAATCATGATATTAGCATTATTTCAAGATGATGATGGAGGGTCATAAAAAGTTTTAAAATTATTAAACAATTTACAAAAAAGAATAAAAAAAACTGTTCTTTATAGTACACTTATGGAGATGCTCTTACAATAACCCTCACCAAACCGGAAATATATCTTTATAAGTAATACTTCGTACTTCGTAATAATAATAATGTTATTAAAAAAGATGATTAAAATGTTATAGGATCACATATATAAACAAAAGAGGGGGAAAAAGTAGAATAGAGCAAGTAATATTTTAATTTTCATCAAATCTCAAATATATGTTTAAAATTGAGCGTTCAAAATCTTCCATCTTAACTCTCCATCCAAACAGATCTTAAAAATGCCAAATTAGTCCGATCAAAAAAATTCAAGAAACGCCAAACATGCAGATTTGGTCATTTCACCTTTTCTGATTTAAGGGGAATTTGCAATTTCTAACAAGTGGTTGTATGAAAAAATGTGAACCATGTGCCCCTTGGAAATTAGGTGTCCCCAGTGGGACTACAAATGAACAGCCCTCTCACCAAATATGGTCCACCACAAAATACCAATTTTAGTAAATGAATCCACAACATAAATATGTTGGAGATTTACTATAATTATTTATTCCCAGGCTTAAAATCTAGAATTGCACCAATTTTCGTCGATCTTTTCTTTCTTTAAATAACATTCATCATGATAAAGATTCAAAATTGAATGACAATTATAATGAAAATCGTATTCCTGTCATGGCGTTTGAATCTACGTCAGGGCGGCGCGTGGCTATACCCCCAATATAGAGCGTATCGCCCCCGGATCTTCTGATTAGCTAAATCCATCGTTACAATAAAGAACAACTTCAAAGCGTGAAATCGGGGGTAAAGATTTATGTCCTTTTTTAATTAATAAAACGAAATAGCACCCATCTTCTCACCCCACCCCCACCATTGTTCTTTTTGATCTGTAACAATGGCGTGAAACCGCAATAAAATGTGAACGATTTGAATGCGCCACGCGCTTTCTGCGTATTCAAACGTCCTGTACATAAAATCTGACAAAAGAAACAACAGATTGATGATCAGCACGTCACTTACAGATCTAATGAGCTCGAGATTCAACTCATCGGGGGTTAGCAGCATGTCGGCGCTGGGATTCCGATAAAACATGAACTCGCGCTCTCCATCGGCGCGTAGGGTCACGAATGCCAGGGCCGTTCTCGCGCCCTTGTCGAAGTTGATCCCATCGGCGCGGACGGCGTTCTCCTTCAGAATCCCGGCGAGCATGTGACCGAACTCGTCGTCTCCGAGTTTTCCGAGGAATGCGGCTTTCCCGCCAAGCCTCGCGACCGCGATGGCGACGTTGGCCGGGGCGCCGCCTGGAGCCTTCAAAAAACCGGGCGCCTCTGCGAGCGATACGCCGGAAGCCGTCGGCACGAAGTCGATCAGCATCTCACCGAAGCTGACGATCAAATTCCGATCGCTACCATTGGCTGCCATGGCTACGATATACAGAGATTGTATGTAGAAAGGAATAGGAGTATTTGAGAATGATTTTCTTGTATTTAAAAGCATAAGCAGATTAGTCGTATTTATAGGGTCATCAGCCGTAACTTTTTAAGTAATTAGTTTTGGATTTACATAGCATTTCAATAAAAGATAATGTTAGTTAAGTAGATAATATCACATTAATTTATCCTTATCCTTACTCATAAGCTGGACGGCGGATAGAGTTGTAAATGAATCGAATAACGTCATATATTCTATTTTTTATATATTCTATTTTTTTAACGGGTCATATATTCTACTTAAAATGCAGAATGTTCATACTTTAATTGATTAACTTTTCGATACATTAAATTATATTTGAATATTCACATTTGAAAATATCATTATTTATTTTTTCCAAGTCATGAGTGGAGTACATATAATTTTCTTTATAATCAACATTGTAGAATCAGATATCTTTACTCTTTGAAATGATTTTTTACACTGAAAAATCAATTGATGAAGTACGCCTACAATTAACTTAGAAATCTTGATTATGAATTTTAAAAAACATATGGATTATAAAAAAAATAGAAATAACAGTAAAAAGGAAAAAACTCTAGAAACAACAATCTAAAAATGAAATGTTAGAGTTTTAGAAGTGTATTATATTTAAAAGTGCAAATGGTATGATTGGAGCTTGTGTGGTGCATAGCTAACAATCTAATATATTATTATTATTATTAAATATATTACTATATTATTATTATTATTTGAAAATATTTGAATTATTTTTAATCAAATATATTACCATATTCTTATTATATTACTATATTTATTATTAATTTATTATTATTACCACTTTGAAAGTAGGTGAGATTATGAATAAGGAAAGAGTATATAAATTATTGAAGGAAGGGTCAAGAATGCCAGGGAAGTAGTTATCCTTCATTCCATCCCGGCATGTAGGGTCACTAATGCCAGCGGCGTTCTCGTAAGTCGCACCCTCGTGATGGAATGAAGGTTAAATCCCACAAAAGTAATTGTAATATTGGATTTTTTACAAAATTATTAAGAGTATAATGAGAAGATTTAGAAACGAGAAGATTATTAGTTAGAGATGAACAATGAAAGTGAGGAGATCTTTTTATTATAAAGGTAGTATTCAATGGCTAGGTGATACATGCGAGAATGAAAAACCAGATTAGCACAAGTAACCAGGGCCGGTCCTGACAATTTATAGGCCCGGGACAAAAGACTAAAAATAGGCCCCTAATTATATATTCCGTATATTATAGAAATGTATTACAAAAGCTTCAAGTCAAAAATAAAATTCATTACACAAGTAAATGTTTTTGTTCCTAAAAATACTTGGTATCATAAGCCATACAAAACAATTCTTTAGGCATTGTTAAAAGAAAATTTTAATTTTAAATTCTCGGCTTTTGTGAGGAAGGTAGAAAGTCATCTAGTTGTGTTTCGTGTGTAGCTCTGTCGTTGTGGCTCAGTCTACGGATATGAGGATTGAGGGGTATCTTTTACGGAGTATTAGAGATTTAGAGTATAAGGAAATGATTTGGTCAGGCGCACTTGACAAAATGATCTGGTCAAATTTTTTTGATAAAATTTTGTAGGCATGTTCTTCATAAAGATTAGATTATTTACACAAAATTTCAATTTCTAATTCAATTAAGAAGTTAGTTAAATAAATTGTTAAAAAACATTGCGATATTTAAACATACATAAAGCACACTGTTTTTCAATAATTTATTTAACAGATTTTCTGATTGAATTTTAATTTGACATTTTTTTGACCTAATCTACACTTAATGAAAAACATACTCACAAACTTTCATCCAACAATTTCATCCGAAAGCGTCTCAAATAGATTTGTGGGCCCGAGATGAACGAGACTCAATATATATATTACTCCTAAATAATTTATGGGCCCTTCTTCCTGGTGGGCCCTGGGCAGCCGCCCATCCTGCCCCTATATCAGGACCGGCCCTGCAAGTAACACCGACATTGCCACGGTATAGAACAGGTTGAGTAGGTATATATGTATATGTGAAGTTTAGTTAAGAGGGATAAGATCCATCATAATTTAGCTACAATTGAGACAAGAGCTAGACACACTATTTCGATAAAAGAGCGTGCTACTATCCATTGTTTTCGAGAGGACAGAGAGATGACATTTTTTCATGAAAGATTACAAACACTCCATTGGAAGTGTAGTCATCACGAGTGTGCCCAATAAGTGTTTGAACAAGCTTTTAAAGAAAGAGGAGATTCTCAACGAAGTAACAACCTATTAGAGCAACCTCAACACTGCCTGTCTAGTGTATCGTGACTGTACGCATAGTGTGCCAAATCACTAATATTAGACATTGTGTTTCTATTTATCCCTCCAATGCTTGTAGTCTTTTGATGATATGGCAAAAAAAACTTAAACACTGTGAAGGCCAATGTTTGAGCAGAGAAAGCAGCCCAAACTTGCTGACTAGACAAAAATATAGGCACGACTTCACAAAAACTAAAGAAAACGGTTAATTTAATTTAATATATCAATTCCACTACATGAGGCGAGATGGTCGAGACTTGCATACATTGGAAGCAATTTTTGGCTTCTAATATGTAACCACTCCACTTCATAATACGTGGACTAGAAAGTGTTTTACATATGTGACAATTGTCATGTTTTTCTAAGACTAGAAACTCTAGCGTTGGGGTTGCTCTTAGTGGTAGTAGTCCACGTATATCATAGAACTCAATTCACAACCTCCCAATGGTCAGTAGTGGGTTGGTGCATAAATCAAGATAGTTTGTTCATTGCATAAGATACGTCTAGTCGGGTGAGACAAAGATACTAAAGGCACCCAATTGTGGACGATATTCTTTAGGTTCGGAAAGTGAACTATCTGAATCAAGTTTAAGGGTGGTGGGTGGTTCGTGGACATATTCACTTTAGTAAAGGCCAAGACATATATGTGATGTACCCGTTTTGTGAGAGGAAGATGCCATGATGGTAGGTAATCACTTAAATTCTAAGAAAAAAGAGAGTGGATCGAGTTCCTTGAGACAAAATCGATAACCAAGAATATCAATAAGATCCTCAACCTGAGAAGATCAAATGCATGATAATATTATCGACACAGAACATGATATAAAAAATAGAAGATGTCGATGATGAAATGAAAAGGGATGTGTCAGCTGTGGAGTATTAAAATCCCAATTAAAGAAGAAAGTGTTTGAGTTCATGGTACCATACCTAAAGTCATTATTCTGGGGGGGGGGGGGGGGAATTGAGTAAAAATGATAAGTTTATTTGGAATCTGGGGGACACATAACATATTATATAAATGAAATAGATGAGAGGGAGAGGAGAGAGACAGCCCATGTGAGTACTAGGAAGATTGTTGTCATTTCCAACCATGACCTCGTCATTACCTAGTAGGAATAATGGAGGGGTGCATTATAATGGTCTAAGGTGATATGATGCCGAACACCACTATCGATAACTCATGAGTAGCCAAGAGCCAATCTGAGTACACTGCCATTGCATACTATGTGGGAAGAAAGTTGTCACACGGTAAGTGTTTGCTGTCATTAAGTTTGTGCAAAATAACGTTCTATTATCCCCAAGTAGAGGGACTGCATTATGAGCAAATTGAGGATAGTAAAAAAGTGGACGGATTTGAATAGTGTGACCTCGAGTCTTTCACGCTTGGCGAAAGGTAAATATGATCGACATGAAAAATATGAGGTGTAGGGATTATATACACAATTTGGAGTGATAGCCATCACGTCCCAAAGAGAACCGGTGGCCATCATGTCCTTGGTCGGAAGAGTTGGAGGGCTTCATCATTGAGAATTTTTTACTCACGGTTGATGAGTTTTTCATGAAGCTCAGTGAAAGAGATTTATATTTTCTGCATCTAACCTCATTTAAGCTAGTATCCATCCTTAAAACCTTTTAAAATGTTTCCAATGAAATCCTCATGCTCAAGATGCTTTCCAATTAAGAAAAGTCCATTAGCAATAGTCTTCAAGGAATGCATGTATTTAGTAATGGTATTGGTTCCTTTGGTGAATTTTTGTGGACTGTTTGATGTGGCTGCGATAAGGATGATGACATGTATATGTAAGAGTATCACATGTTTCTTTGCATCTAATGGTATGTTGAATGAGTGATATGATAGAGGGATAGAGCATCTGGATGAGTACATCAAAGAGGATGGATAAGCTTAGGGGGAGGGGATGTGAGGCTCCAATAGGAAAGGCAGGACAGAGAGGAGAAAGGGGGGAATGAGGAGAGGGGATCGAGATAATACTTATATCATGTACCTATATCATGTACCCAAGATGTGAGTCATTGTATACTAATAGCATAAAGAGAGGATCTTGAATGTTGCCATACCGTATAGAAAGTCATATTTGGGAATGATTTTCTCTTATTCAAATACAAGCAAAATACATGCATATATAAGGGTCTTAACGAGCAGCTTTCTAATAACTATCTAGTTTTAGATTTCGTACATTAGAATGTATGATACGTGATTATGCTATTACGTAACAAAGTACTTTGTATATAAGATCACTTAGAGCATCTTTAATGGGAACATGGATTGTACCTTCTAAAAAATGGATATGTCACCCCTATTCACAGCCCGTGAAGCTGATGTGGACGTGAGCACTTTTAAACTAATTTTTATTCTTCAATGGTGCATTGGATTTGAAGAATTCGTTACGTAATCAGGGCCACGTCACATACTAAAATATAACCGACATAATGTTTCTTCTAGCTTTCTCCGGGCCGGGCAGGTGAATATACAAAAACAGAGCACATAAAAAGAAAGCCGATGTAATCTTAAATCAGCCGCAGTTCACCTTTGTACTTTGAACTTTGCAAATATTTCGTGTGTTTCAAATACATATGACGAAACATCTCCCTGATCACTAGTCGGTTTTTCAAATACTCCCAGCGGCATATTTTTTTATTTTTCAATTGAATTTAAAACATTAAATTGAAGCCCAGTGCAGATTGTTATGCATATTTTTCTTGTGTTTCAAATACATACGAAGCCATAGCCCTCATTCTCTAATTGAAGCCCATGTGCCAGCTTGCTTACAAATCAGACTTGGTCTTTCGTATAAAACCTATGCAGAGGAAAGGTTATTGTTCGCAGACTATATTGATAGTCACAGCCAAAATATCGGATTCACAACTCCAAATTCAACTAATACAGAAAATAAAGAAATGAACACACGATATGTTGACGCAGTTCGGATAAATCCTACTCTGCGGGGTTTCAACGGGGGAAACCCGGGTCCCAAGAATCCACCAGCTCAGAAAAATTTGAATACAAAGATGGTTGCAAAGCAAGACCAGAAAACAATAAGATCCAACACACAAGAATCAGCCAAAACTCAAGCAATACAACTAAAAATAGTAAAAGGAATAGAAATAACCGAACAAAGCTTCAGAAACCCAGGTGTATCAGATTCTTGGAATCGAACCAACAGCCCAGCGTTCCAGCTTCTCCACACGATTGATCTCCAACCTTTCTCAGCTTGCTTTGTCCTCAAGTGAAGTAGAATCGAACGAACAGAAGAAAAAACCAGAGGTTTCTCTCTCTTCAACGCTCAAGCTCTCAGACTCGCCTTTTTGGACTTAGGGTTTCAAATGACGCAAAAGATATCTCCAGAAGGAAGGAAGGAGACGTCTTATATGCGAATCAAAAGAGCTGGGTCAAAGATATAGAGAATGGACTGGACTTTTCTAAAACAGGCCCAAACCAAAATATAAAGGCTGAAACGGGCCAGACCTAAATTATTTTAATCTTGCTTTACCTTCCAATCTAAGCATTTAACATCATGGATAAATATAACCAGAATTAGGATTACAAATATAACAATTTGCCCTCCTAAGACCAATTCTGGTGCAGCACAGCTCATTAGAGCTTTTATCATCATTGCTAGTATCAGGATTCAAGAGACCAGATTATACCCTTTCATCATTAACCCAACAAGTACCCTCATGTTCAAGGTACTTCAAAGACTTTGAAGAACTGCCTGCAAAACAAAAACTTAGCAACAGGAACAATTTTAGTACCAAAATCAGCAGGATTAACATCTCCAGTAATCTTATCAATTTTTATGTTGCCTTTAGAAATCCCATCCCTAATGTAATGAAATCTAACATCTATGTGTTTAGTTTTTTCATGATACATAGGGTCTTTGCACAAATATATAGCACTTTGACTATCAGAGAAGACAGTAGGAACAATGCTTGTCCCCAATACCTCACCCAGAATACCTTTTAACCATTTTGCTTCTTTGATAGCCTCAGTGGCTGCAATATATTCAGCCTCTGTAGTAGACAGAGCTACTACAGATTGCAATTGAGATTTCCAAGATATATAGTTACCAGCCCAAGTAAAGAACCAAGAAGTGGTTGATTTTCTTGAGTCTTTACACCCAGCATAATCAGAATCAACAAAACCTTTCAGATCACACAAATCAGCATTAAAGTATTTCAGACCAAAGTTTTTAGTACCAGACAAATATCTTAGAGTATATTTCATAGCAGTCCAATGTTTGATCCTAGGATCGGACATAAACCTGCTAAGTATACTAACAGCAAAAGCAAGATCAGGTCTAGTACAAAGCATGGCATACATAAGAGAACCAGAAGCAACATCATAGGGGATCTTAGCCATTTTCTCAGATTCTTCTAAAGTCATTGGACAAGGATCTCTAGAGAGTTCTAAATGCCCTCCTAAGGGTAAGGGGGTTGATTTAGAGTCATTCATATTAAACCTATCCAAGATTTTATTCAAGTAATCACCCTGAGATAAGAACGTGCTTCTATTAGATCTATCCCTAGTGATGTCTATTCCCAAAATCCTCTTGGCAGAACCAATGTCCTTCATGTCAAAATGCAATTTCAGATCATCCTTAACACTAACAATCAGCATTTTACATGGACCAATTAAGAGAATATCATCAACATACAGCAGGATATAAACAACATTTTCAGTTCCAACATGTTTATAATACAGACAAGTATCATATTTACTCCTTAAAAAACCAAGTTGACTCATGCAGGAATCAAACTTCAAATTCCATTGTCTGGGAGACTGTTTAAGTCCATAGATTGATTTTTTAAGAAGACAAACATGTTCAGGAAACTCTTTGTTGATAAAACCAGGAGGTTGAGACATGAAAATGGTTTCTTTTAAGTCTCCATGCAAAAAAGCAGTTTTAACATCCATTTGCTCCAACTCCCTGTCAAAAACAGAGGTTATAGCCAACATTAATCTCAAAGTTTTGAATTTTATAACAGGTGCAAAGATATCTTGGTAGTCAATACCTTCCTTTGGTCTAAAACCTTTAGCTACAAGCCTGGCTTTAAACTTAGGAGGTTCTGTAGGATCAAGACTATCTTTTAACCTAAAAATCCACCTACAGTCAATTACTTTAGCATTTTTAGGTTTAGGAACTAAAGTCCAGGTCCTATTAAAGTACATGGACAAAAGTTCTTCCTGCATGGCTTTCATCCACTCATTAGACTTAGGGCACATCATAGCTTGTTCAAAGTTATCAGGAGCTAACTGTTTAACTACTTCAGCAGCAATCAACACAAATTCAGCAAGATTAGAGAAATATCTTTTATTAGGAATAATAGTTCTAGGTTCTCTATCTCTAACCAGTTGATAGTCAGCCAAATTTGGTGTGCTATGATTATCAGTGTCATTATTATCAACATGCACATTATCACTAACAGCAGTATCAGTTAGTTCATGCACAGAGGTAGTATGAGAACCAAAGTTACTACCTTGTGAGTCTGAACTCACCACTACCTGTTCACCTCCATTGAGGTCATCTTGTTGATCTGTGTCAGACTCTGAATAATCATTTGCATCATTGTGGAGAATTCCACTATGATCCTCTTTATACAAAGAGTCATCATCATCCAAAGATTCAAAGAAATTTCCATCAGAAACACCTGCATACTTACTTGAAGCAGTATCAGTTCTTTTACAAGGAAAATCACATTCATTGAAAGTAACATCTCTGGATACAATACATTTATAAGCCCCTGGTTGTAAAACCAGTAACTTATAGCCTTTAATTCCCTCAGGATAACCTAACATTACACATTTCAAGGCCCTAGGTTGTAATTTACCTTGAGAAACATGGGCATAAGCAGCACACCCAAAAGGCCTTAAATGAGAAATGTTTGGTTTAATACCAGACCACATTTCCTGTGGAGTTTTAAAACTGATCACAGAAGATGGGGATCTGTTAACAAGGTATGAGGCAGTAACCACTGCTTCACCCCACAAGGAATTTCCAAGGCCTGAACTGATGAGCATACACCTTGCCTTTTCAAGCAAGGTCCTGTTCATCCTTTCAGCAGTGTCATTCTGCTGAGGAGTACTAGGGACAGTAAGTAATCTTTTGATCCCTTCATTTTTGCAAAAAACATTGAATTCATTATTGCAGAACTCAAGACCATTATCAGTTTTCAAAGCTTTCAGTTTAAAATTGGATTGAGACTCAACCAAAGTTTTCCAATTCTTGAAGTTTTCAAAAGTTTCATCCTTAGTTTTTAGTAAGAAAACCCACACCTTCCTGGAAAAGTGATCAACTAGAGATAGAAAGTATTTCCTACCTCCAGTTGTGCTCACTTTAGAAGGTCCCCATAAATCAGAATGAACCAATTCCAAGGGAGCAGAAGCAACATATGAAGATTGTTCAAAAGAATGCCTAGTTTTCTTACCAAAAGTACAATTTTCACAAAAACCAAGGTTTACAGGTTTAAAGTCAAAAAATCCAGTTTTAAACAGCTTATTCAAACCCACATTCCCAATGTGACCCAATCTGTTGTGCCAAATCTCAGTTTGTTTCTGGGTGGTGCTATTATTAACAGAAACAGCTAAGTTAAGTTCAGGGGAGTAATTAACTAAGTAAAGTCCCCCACTCTTATTAGCTTTAATAAGGTCATTTCCATTTCTGGAAACAACCTTATACCCATCCTGTGTATTAATAGTGCAACCCAGATCATCAAAAACAGATTCAGACAAGAGATTCCTTCTTAAGAAGGGAACCCACCTAACATTTTGGATAACCCTTACAACCCCATCAAACATCCTCAGCGGAACATTACCAACACCTTTGATATCAAGGGCAGTATTGTCTCCTAACATGACCTTTCCCCCATCATATTGAGTCAGGGAAGAGAAATAGGTCTTGTTAGGAGTGGCATGTAATGTACACCCAGAGTCTAAAATCCATTCATCATTCAAAGAAGATCCAGAGCAAACAAGCAATTCATGTTGAAAAACATTTGCAGATTCTGTGTTAGGAGTAGGGTTAGGATTGTTCTTATTATCACCTTGTTTATCCCTTTTCTTTTTCCTACAGTCTCTTGCAAAATGTCCTTCTATGCCACAGTAGTGACATTTAAAGGTTTTCTTATCAGAATTATCTTTGTCAGTTTTATTCTTCTTCTTTGAATTGTTCTTTTTATTCTTTGGTCTCCCTTTAATAACCAGGGCTTCATTCTTAGTCTCAGCTTTATCAGTATTAGAGGGATCAGATTTAGACTTAAAAACTTTCAGGGATTCATTCTTCTCAAGTATAGCATCAGTGATCTTACCAGGGGTGAGATCATCATTAGAATACTGAATGACATTGTTGAAATTATCAAACTGGGGTGGTAAAGAATTTAACAGGATAACAGCTTGATGGGTGTCTTTTATTTTTTCATCTACCTTTTCAATTTCTTGAGTCAATTTCAGAAAATTATCCAAGTTTTCAGATAAGGACACAGAAACATTCATCTTAAAGGTAAACAGTCTACAGAGCAGAGAGATCTTTCTTGACATAGACTTTTTCATGTAAGTAGACTCAAGGGTATCCCATAACACTTTAGGGTCAGTGATAGTAGAAAATTTTCTAGCCACATTGTCAGACAGATGGATAATCAATTTAGAATATGCAGCATTTTTCATTCGTAGTGAGCACGTTCATGGCGTAATCCTTATATTTTCTTCTTTCTATAAGAATGTGTAACATGTTAGCATTTTGAATTAGCAATGAATTTAACAAATTATATAAAACAATTAAGGATGTTTTATTTGGATCAAAACTCTCTGATTTAATCTAGTGTGGTTTGATTTGCATCGGTATATGTCTCGTCTTTGAGTATTTTACAACTATTGAAATCTGATATGATATGTTAAAGTCTAGTCTGGTCTCAGGGCGGCCCTAGGAGCACAAGGGGGCGGTGGCTCTAGGCCTAGAAAAGATGAAGAAAAAAATAGGCTCAAATTTAGTTCTTTAGTAATTGTCCTAAATAGGTCTAGCTAAAGTTTGCCTAAAAATCACAAATAGGATTCAAGTCTTAAATCATTCTCAAATAGGACTAAACATTTATTTTCTACCCTAAATACCCCTACAAGTATTAATTCATAATGAAATGTTTAAATTCATAATAAAATATTAAAAGTTAATAAAAGTCATAAGAATATAAAATAAAATAAAATATATATTTAAAATAAAAATATCCAAAAAAACTGTTTTTTTTTAAATTAATAAAATAAGTAAAAACCCATAACCACCACCTCTATCGCCTCCCAGCACCATCACCTCCGGTCTCTGAAAAAATGCCATTTTTTCAAAAAAAAAAAAAAACAAACCAAGAAAATGACATTATTACGGTCGATAATGCCAAAATTTTCATTGAATCTGTCAGCACCACCACCTTCGATCGGTGAAAAAATGCCCTTTTTTCAAAAAAATGCCAAGAAAATGGCATAATTGTGGTTAATATTGCCAAAATTTTCATTGAAATTGCCATAAATATGGCATTACTAATTCATGTTGGCATTTTTTCTCCAGTGATCGGAGCTGGTGGTGTTGGGGGTGGCAGAGGAGGTGTTTCCTTTTCACTTTTTTTTTAAATATAATTTTTAAAATTTTTTATTTTGTAAATAGTTTATTATTTTTTTATTGTTTTTTTACGGTTTGCATTATTTTTTACGATTTTATTATGAATTAAAACATTTCAAAAGCTAGAAGCAGGGGCGGAGCTAGGGGTGCCCAGGCTAGGCCCTGGCCCACCCCAAATTTGAAAAATGTCAATATTTTTAATGTAAAAAATTCCGTGTAATTTTTTTTCCAATAATATTCTTTGTACCGGTCCAGTCTAGCTCAGTGTCCTGGCTACGCCCCTGGCTAGAAGGTATATTTGTCCAAACACACATAATTAATTTTACTTGGGAATTTAAAACAATGCATTCCTATTTATGATTTTTGGCTATCTTTTAGTCCTATTTAGGTAATTTACACTTAGTTTCTTATAATAAATGTGAGTATTAGGCTGATGTTTCATCCCCAAACTAATCATTTTTCTGGTGGTTTTTTTATGAAAAGAATTTTCAAGACTATAATCTTCTTTGTGGCTTTGTCACCAATAATGACTAAATTTATTAAATTTTTGGAGACCTAAATTATCGATTAACTTTCTCTGTCTATGTGCTAGATTTACAACATTATAAAATAAATAAACGGTTGAAAAAATTCTTATGTTCTGTTTGCAAGTAACTACTCCGTATATGTGAGTGAGTATCAAATTAATTTAATTACTCCAACTATATTGTTCAATTTTTTTTTTGACGAATATCCCCCATGGGTCGGGGCAGGGATGGGGCGGGGTAAATCGTAACGGGGGACGGGGCAAGGGTGGGGGGATTTTTAGACACGGGCCGGTGATGGAGGAGTACAGTACCCCGCCCCATTGCCATCCCAGGACAGCCATGCTTGAGTCCTATTTGGTTACTCTTAATATGGTTTATTAATTCCAAGAAACTGTGTTGATATCTCATTATATCTAATAAAATGCAGCATAAGCCAGACTATCCCCACAATTCAACAACACATTCTAAAACATTTAGTACGTAGTATAAAAAAGTCCAATAATAGCTTTTTGGAACAACTTGGTACAAATGAGATTGGGCCATGGTGGGGAAGGGCAGAGGCCAGAGGGTGCATGAAACCACTGGACCACAGCTCACTTGCATCAAGTGTTATTCTGGACAATACAACATGTGGTTTAACATCAAGGGCATCAAATATAAGAAATCTATGTTAGAGATTAAAGATTTCATTCTCATGAGAGATTCAAATTTCATTAAATATATATGGTGGCCTGTTCCTATGAACTTTGATTGCTACACTACAAGAATTTTTTTTTACATACAAGATGAAACAGAAAAGGACATTGCAGGAGCTTAACATTTGATTCTCTTCCTAAACCATATAAGGAGTAAATAAAAGAAACAGTTTATACCAAAAAGACACTAAACTTGTGGTGTTTGTTTCACCTGAATAGCATTCTTGAGATCACTTATTTCCCTATTCGGACAACCAAACGAGCGTGGGCAGGATAACGTCTAGCTATGAGCTATCTATGATTCTGCTGGTCTCTACTCTCCACCTCCCTTGCATTGGGCACAATATCTTGGATTCTCTTTGATATGGATTGGTTGTGCCCTTCTATACGCTCAAATAGCATCTCCAGATGTTTTTTGTAAGTTGCTGACCGCCTCTTTTCAGCTGCCAGTTGCTGAGAAAGTTCACTGATTTTAATATTTTATCATGTTCATTTTACACAAGTAAAATCAACAAACATTATCATTGGTATAATGAATGCCAAACAAGTATAATGAATGCCAGACAAACAAATATTCAGTACAAGATGGAATGCATCTGAACTGATAGAGTGAGGGTCTGTTTGCAACAGCTTCTGCTTTAAAAAAATGCTTTTTTAATGAAATGAGGAGAAGTGATTAAATAAAAGTTGATAGTGTTTCAGAAAAAAGTGATTTTGAAAAGTAAAAGTGGACAGTGTTTGGTAAAATAAGTGCTTTTTGTGTAATAGAAAAAGTAAAAGCACTTTTGACGCGGAAGCCGAGAAAAATAAAAGTTGTAGTGTTTGGGAAAATAAGTGATTTTTTAAAGCCAAAAGTTGAGAAATGCTTTTTTAAAAGGAGTTGCAAACCAACCCTGAGTTTCAAAATCTCATATTTTTATTGTTCCATAAAGGTTGAATCGCCAACCCCAAGCGCCCCCCCACGCCCCGACCCGACATGACTTTTTGGGAGGATGTAAGTCACGGTGACTCAGTCAGTAGAGTGGTAGTAGGCCCATACACCCATGCGCAACAGAGGTCCAACCTTATTTCAGGTTATGTGACCTCCACCCGGTCACTGCGGGGATTCGAACCTTGGTCATTGTTCCAAATTTCCCACCACTCAACCAACTGAGCTACCCGTGCGGGTAATCCCATATTTTTTTATGTCTTTACTGGAAATGGGTGTTGGACTTCACCTGCATATGGTATGACAGCATCTACGGTTGATTAATAAACCTAACTCCTATGTTGTAAAAACCGGACCGGTGAGCGACCTGGTCATGTAACTGGGTCACGGGTCAACCCGGACCCGGAGGGTCAACCCGGTCAAAGCCAGAAAACCGGTCAACGATTATACGTCTATATAATAATAATAAACATATAATTATATACACTGTCATTATATATTTTTATTTGTAGTGTACATTTATATTATAATTTGGCATGATTTTCATTCTTAAATAAATATATAAATATATTACATAGTTTTTCTTTTTAGGGAATTGAAATTTTATTGGTTTAAAAACTGCATTAAAATTAAAAAAGAAATTACTTTATTTTGGAAAAGACCGAAAACCGGGTTTTCCCGGGTTTTTCAGGTTTCTTGGGTCGGGTCCGGATCGGGTTTTTTCTGGTCAGCCGGGTTTTTCCGATTTTTTACCATTTTCGGGTTTTGAAGAAACCAGACCGGATTTTTTTCCGGGTCACCGGGTTCCGGGTCAACCCGGCCGGGTCGGGTCGGTTTTTTAAACATAGCCTAACTCCCGAAAAGGGTTTGGTCAAATTACCAAATGATCATCGAGTTCTGGATATTATTACATAAAAATTAAACCCAACTCCATTCAACAGTCAGTTTTTTGCTTAAAACTTCCCATTTAACACCAAAAGATTACAGAGTAAAACAATCTCAACAAGAGAATCAATTTAATCTCTTGAAGCATTTTTCGGCTAAAAACCTTGACATTTCCTCCACAAAGAATCTGATGAACAAATATTGATAGCATCTTAGTCCGACAAACTGGATTCCTCCTAATATCATTTACTCCTGAGATGTTGGTGAAAGAGCTTTTTATAATGATAGATTCTATGGTACCCATATGGTGCCATACTTTTGTCTATGTGGACCAATCACAATGTTGCTGTTGAATTATTTAAGTCTAAAATAAAAATGATATGTACCTATTTGGACCAATCAAGTGAATGGTAGGTACGGTATCCCATTTTTTAAATGTGTATCGGAGTTCTCATGCATTTTTAGAGAGTGGAGCTCCGTCCCCGGTACTTGCAGAGGCCCTATGCATTTTTAGCATAGTAACTTCTCATCGCAGTTGCCGGGATTTGAACCTGGGATCTAACCCTTGTTACACTCCATGAGCTACGCCCACCGATGAGTTCTCACCTTTTATAATTTTAGTGAACGTGATTGGTTAGATCAACGACTGGAAATCGCCAGGTAGTAGTGACGCCCCGTGTGCCTGAGGATGATTACAGCGTAAACGGGCCCCCGCATATAAAAAACTATGGGAAAACTGTCAAATAGGTCCTCGAACTTTCATAAAAAAGTCAATTAAGTCCTTCTATAGGAGACTCTGTCCGGTCGTCGCGATTTGGGTCGGTTCCCGGTGGAATTTTTTGATGAAATTTTTTAGGGAAAAGGTGCAAATAGGCCCATGTACTAACCAAAAAAGGTCAAATAAGCCCTTATTTAGGAGGCTCTATCCGGACGTCACCATTTGGGGTGGTTTCCGGTGGAATTTTTTTATGAAATTTTTTGTGCATCGTATTCATGAATTCTAGTTTACGCATACCAATTTTCAGCTAAAATTTCAATCGGGAAGGCATTCAAATGAATTCTTGAAGATAACTGCGCAGTTATCTTCAAGAATTCATTTGAATGCCCTCCCGATTGAAATTTTAGCTGAAATTGGTATGCGTAAACTAGACTTCATGAATAAGATGCTCAAAAGAATTCATCAAAAAATTCTGTCGGGAACCACCCCAAATGGTGATGGCCAGTCAGAGCCTTCTAAATAAGGGCTTATTTGATCTTTTTTGGTTAGTACATTGGCTTATTTGCACCTTTTCCCAATTTTTTAAGCATCTTATTCATCAAGTCTAATTTACTCATATCAAATTTCAGCCACAAATTCAATCGGGAATACATTCAAATTAATTCTTGAAGATAACTGCGCATTTTTGCATTCTCGAATTAATTTGAATGCGCTCCCGATTAAATTTTTAGTTGAAATTTGGTATGAGTAAACTAAACTTGATGAATAAGATGCTCAAAAAAATTCATCAAAAAATTCCACCAGGAACTGCCCCAAATCGCGACGGCCGGACAGAATCCCCTATAGAAGGACTTAATTGACCTTTTTATGAAAGTTCGAGCATCTATTTGATAGTTTTCCCAAAAACTATTGGCCCATTCCAGTTGCGTTTGACCCGTTTGACTAAGCTATTTCCAGCCTAAATTCTCAATCTCTTCCCGCTCGCCTTTAAACCAAAAATACCCGCATCTCTCTCAATATCCCTGCGCCCGGCCTCCCCGCTTCCAACATCATCTGAAGGTATGTGCCTTGTTCTTCAATGCTCATGTTTCTGTTGTCCCTTGATAAAAATTTGATAAATCTCGAGTTGTTCACTTGTTCATGAACGTCGCCGGCGTGAACGGGCACCGCTTACGGCTGCCAACGATGGTGGACATTTGACTTTTAAATCTTTTGGGACAGTCCGGCGTTTTGGTCCTGGAGAGATACGATAGCATGAAACGCCACACCCTGATAGATCGGCATTTTTGCCCGGGAGAGATGATTAAGGTTTTTGCAAGAGCATTTTAAGCAGAATGTTACTTCGAAAATCACTTTAACCTTTTCAGTTTAACTTTTGCTTTTAAGCATTTTCTGTCATCACTTAAAAAAATCACTTTTAACTTTTTTAGCCTAATCTAGGGGTGTTCGTCGGTTCGGTTCGGTCGGTTTCGGTCGGTTTTGGTCGGTTTTTTTTTTGGTCGGTTTTCAAAAGTGAGAACCGGTAACCGAACCGGATGGAATTCGGTCGGTCGGTTTTCATAGTCGGTTTTTTTCGGTCGGTTTTCGGTCGGTTTTCGGTTTACTCACCTATGCTTGACAAAATACAGAGATGCCTGGCAGTAAGGATTTTCCCGCACCTGATATGCTCGTTCAATATACACATGCATGTATACTAACACCAGCAAAATAGCAATACTTCAATGTTGATAACTTAAAATATATGGCACCAAATCATTAGAGATTTTAAAAGTTTCAAAAAGCTATACTAACCCCCCAAAACAAATTCTTTAGCAGATTTATGTAGTAATACTACGTTCTGAATGATCAAAAGGGCTGCATATATTCTTTCATTTTATCCAAAGTTTTCCATTAAAAAAGAGCAACAACAAGGTTGAAGAATTATGAGAATAAAAAAATGTAAAATTAAGTTAATTAGCTATTAAACTAAGTTCTTTGCTTTCTTATAGGAATTTTGACGAACACTTTGGAGGCAAGAAGGTCAAATACTTTCACTTAACATTCTTGAATGTTTGAAACACTAAAAGCACGAACATAAAAAAATTACCTGGAATCTTTAAACAAATTTAAGTTGTTCAAAGTTCTAACTCAAAACCCACATATGGAAAGAGCCGGTCGAATCACAGTGGAAGAACATAAAATCTCTAAATGATATCACTGAAAACAAAAATATCTTTTCTTGAGTTGACCATGAATAGCTTGGGCAGTACCGTTTCGTGCTAGGAACAATTGTGCGAAGAACAGCAAGGGAAGAATAGCTACGCATATTACTTCCTCGGTCGGTCGGTTTATAACCGATGCCTAATATGTAAAACCGACGACCGAACCGTTTAAACTTATGTCGGTTCGGTTCACCGACCGAATTTGTCGGTTTTCATTTCGGTCAAATTTAATCGGTTTTATCGGTTCGGTTTCGGGCGGTTTTTCGGTCGGTTTCGGTTTTTCGGTTTTTTTGTTCACCCCTACCTAATACTACGTAGCTTTTACCCCTTTTCTCCTCCCTAGGGCTGTTAACGAGCCAAACCGAGCCCGAACACCCAAAACTCGAATTCGGCTCGTTAAGGAATAAGGGGTGTTCGGGTTCGAGCTCGAAGCTCGGCGATCTTTACAAATGAGGCTCGTGTTCGGCTCGATAGGCGTTCGATGTTCGAACCGAGCGCTCGATAAGCTCGATAAATATGCCCGAATTTAAAATTTTAGATGATGCTCGTTAATAGGCTCGTGCTCGAATGGTTCGACAAGTATTCGGTTCATTAATAATCATATTTAAATTCATAAAACCATACTAATTATATTTAAATTTTGACATATATAAAAATTATATTTAAAATTTTAGGGTGTTCAATATGCTCGAGTTCGAACCGAGCCGAAAACTACTATGTTCGAGCTCGGCTCGATTAATTTTTCGAACTTAAAACTCAGCTCGAGTTCGAGTTCGAAGTTCGTTAAGCTCGGCTCGTTAGGTTCGAAATCGAGCTAGAGCTCGAATAGTTCGATAAAAGCTCGGTTCGTTAACAGTCCTACTCCTCCCCGCCCCTCCTATTCTTCTCCCCTCCTCTATTCTCTCTGCCGTTAGGTACTTTTCATCTTTTTTCATGTGCTGTGCTAACTGAATGGAGTGTAGTCTTGCTTACATACTATTGATTGGTATTATCTATTTGTGTAGCTTTTATGTACATATACGTATGTGGTGCACACAAAATGTTTGTTAAAATGCTTGGATAAGACTTGTCCTAAGATTAAAAACTAAACATTAATCAAACCTTTTGATTCACATTTTCTCAGTTCAAACATTCTTGCTTACACACTTATGTTAAATTGTAGGATCCTAGTAAACTTTTTTTTATGGATCATGTTCACCCTTACTTACTTTATGTGTTTGTAAGATGATTTCATGTTAAAAAATCTAATGCGTATTTAATGGAGATTTGTTAAAAAATCTAATTTTTAGGTGCAAAAGTCATGCCTTTATGTTGGGTTTACCTCTACAACATTTGTTTCCAAACAACTTCAGCGCTACCAAAAGCCATAGGGACATGTTTATTTTTATCTATGCTTTATTGTATTAGAGGCATCTATTACACCACAATGTCTGTATTTTACTTCGTTATTATCTATTACAATATTACATTAAGAAATTTGCATTTTTATCAGTTTTTTAAATTATTGCTTAGGCAAAAGAAAATTTTATGGCTGGTTTGTTGGCGTAAAAAAGCAGATATTGTCAGCAATCTTTGGGTGGGGATAAATTTCATAAAGTTTTTGTTTTGTTTATGAGAACCGCAAAATAGCTATCATTGTTGTTGTAGTTGATTAATTAGTCTTCCCTTCAATGTGCTTATATGAAACTTCTATGTACATCGCTTGATCAGGTGTGCTGCCTTTGTTAGAAGATATCCATGGCTTTGGTGGTTAAATTTCCCGTGGATGTCCAAGTAGGAATTTGTAACTACAATTTTATCAGCACAAGCAAGAGAGCTGGTAATAGCTTTATCAGAAGGCAAAGATCTACGATTAAAATGTGTTCATCCTATTCTGGTGTGCCGGGCCAGATCATCGAGCAAATGCCACCACCTAAGTCGCAGAGAAGTGCGCTTCCGATAATGGTTACTATCTTACTTGAACTGCACAATATCGTCATTAACGCTTGTGTTTGTAGTTTATTTATAATTTATAATGCCTGTTATGCTTTTCTTTTATTAGTTTTACACTTCAACGGTTCTACCTCATTAATGCATGAGATTACATACAGCCCTTCAAATAGTCGTATGATTAACATATTTAGTTCTCCGGAGCTTAATGTAAACTAAATTTCAGAATGAGAGTGGAGTGTTTTGGGTATAGGGTATTTTGACTTATTGATGGGGATTCTATGTGGCACTATTACCTTCTTGTTAAATAGATTTAGTAGACTTTGATTTTCATTTTCCTCTTGACAGCGGCTGAGATCTACAATTCTTTGTATTTTTACTTTGGTTTTAAGTGTGATTTGGACTTCCAATAATTTTTACTGCCTGCTAAACGTCATTCATCCGTCCCAGAATTAGATTCAGCAGTCATGTTTGATCAAGTTATAACTTTTTAATTTTAATAAGGTGCAACAGCAATAAGTCACTATTTTTTAGTTTTTTATTTAAGTAAGCTTATCACGTTTAAAATGTTTAGCACTCCTATTCTAATAAAGGAACACATGAAAAAGTAGATATCCTTTATTGGACTTCTGTCGCCCCAAAACGAGGTTTTAGGAAAGGAGAAAGGACCTTTACATTTTACCGGATGGAGATTGTTTTCCATTTTAGCTTCTTTCTTAGGTATTAGATGGTGAAATTTAAGTTTATTCATATCATTTCATTTTTGCCACCATCATTATCAGGTGAATGGTTGTACTGGGAAAATGGGAAGAGCGGTTCTTGAAGCGGCAATTTCTGCAGGACTTCTGCCTGTCCCTGTGGCTTTTGGTAGTGCTGAAGATTCTGGGAAGATAATAGATGTAGCTGGGAAAGAAGTTACAGTGCATGCGCCGACTGACAGAGAAAGCACTTTAGCCTCAATATTTGAGGAGCATCCTGATTTAATTGTGGTGGATTACACAGTTCCTGCTGCTGTAAATGGTAAGTTGATCAAACATTAAATTTTATATGGGAACCCGGAGAAGGGAAGGGATGTAAAATGTATACTCCATACTCAAATTCTTGAAATTCGCATCACATGCTTTTATAAGTTTTATTAAACATTATATTTTGCCGAAAATGTTAATCTTCATTTTTGGTTTCTTTGCAGCCTTTTTTTCTTTTAATTTGTTTTGAAGCATTATGTTATCTACTTATATCCTTAACCGGAAAGTAGTCATTATGTCTTATTGTCTTGATGTTTTTAGTTTGCTTCATTTCCACACACACAGCTAATGCAGAATTGTATTGCAATGTTGGAGTTCCTTTTGTGATGGGAACTACTGGTGGAGACAGGGAGAGGTTGTATAAGACAGTGACAGACTCTAGTAACTATGCCGTGATCTCCCCACAAATGGGAAAGCAGGTACTGAGGACACATTGTGCTATTTAATGATCTCTACATCTGACATTCTTTTCTCTATTTATTTAATTTTAAATAATCATATTTAGCTTTTTTTACTAGGTTGTTGCATTTCTTGCTGCTATGGAAATAATGGCAGAGAAATTTCCAGGTGCTTTCTCAGGGTATAAACTAGAGGTATATATTTATCATTGCTTTCTTTGTGAATTGTTAGTAATAAGAGCAGCTGCATTGGTTGGAGATCGAACTCCCATATACCCACTTCTTCTTTGCAAAAAATATATTTGATTGGTTGCTCAACTATGTACTTCTAAAATATCATGAATATGTATCGGAAAAATTCTTTTGTTAATATTTTCCTTGAGCTCTTGTTAATAAAGAACTTCAATTTTTAATGGTTTTGCCATCTAGAGTTGATTGCTCTCTTTTTATGAATTGAATAAGGTGATGGAGTCTCATCAAGCGAACAAGTTGGATATATCTGGAACTGCCAAGGCTGTCATCTCATGTTTTCAGAGATTAGGGGTCTCCTTTGACTTAGATCAGGTTCGTTCAAAGCACTTATGGACCTTCTATGAGTTGTGGAAATTCAACCCCATTTTCTTTTCTATACTGATATCAACTAGAAGAAGCAAATGTTCAATTCAAATAGATATGGTTGAAGCCTAAGCTTCTCAAGTATATTTGTAACTTTTATCTTGGGTCCTTTTTTCCCAAAGTGGCAATTAGTTTAGTTATTTTATGATATTAACATATAGGAATATGTGTTTATGTTTTCCAAGAAACTTGATGTATACATATATGATGAAGAAAGGGGGCATATTAAAGGAAAATCGGTCCTACAAATCTGCCTCATCGTTTGGTTGGACATATAGGTAAAGTTACAGCTAGCTTACATATTTCTTTGTTGTCTTTCTGGAACATTTATTTAATAGGTCCAACAAATACGTGACCCCAAGCTGCAAACAGAAATGGTTGGCGTCCCAGAAGAATACTTGTCTGGTCATGCTTTCCATATGTATCATCTAACATCACCCGATGAAACGTACTATCTATCTTTTCCAAACATCAGCCTCTAAACAATTTATCTTTCTTTTGTGAATAATTTCATCCAATTCAAATCTATTTCCCCCCTATTGTTTGTTTCCTCACTTCATCACTTCCTTCTGTAGGGTCTCATTTGAGTTCCAACATAATGTTTGTGGAAGATCAATATATGCAGAGGGTACTGTTGATGCTGTTCTCTTCCTTGCGAAGAAGGTTTGTCCATCTTGGTTTGAATTTGATAACCCGAAGTTTTGTGCTATCAAATTCATTTCACTTTATTTCAATTTAAATATCCCAAACACTTCATTTCACTTTAAATATCTGATGCATTCAATTTGCAACAATTATGAACTATTTAGATAGCGGCCATTCAAAGAATTTACTACCCCCAAAATAATTGCAGCTTGAGAATGTCCTTGTCAATACAAAGTCTCCACAGAATTCATAAACTTGTGCAGTGTAGGAAAGTCAAACCACTCTAGGCCATTAAATTGCAGCTAATATGTTTACAACAAATTACCACTGTTGCTTTACAGGTCTACTTTCATTTTAATCTTAACTAAAGATGTAAAACTTACTGTGATGACTACAGGTCAAAGCAAAAGAAAACAAGCGGATTTATGACATGATTGATGTTCTGCAAGAAGGCAGTATGCGTTGAATTACTCTCGGTGCCCTCTAGTACTCACCTAGCGGATTTTAGAATATTGATGATGAGATACTAATTTATGCATTTACTTGCTAACTAAGAATGTAATAACTCAGCCCGTGCAGCCTCCTTTTACTCAGCCCATGCAGCACCAAGATCCTTACTCCACTGGGAGTTGGAATGAGATCAATACAAGCCAATGAGAGTGGTCGAATGGGTCCTTGTCATTAAAATTTGTTTCTGCAGTTTGATCTTGATATACTATTGTCCAGAGAGAGGGGTGTTCTTGTGCCATGGAATTGGTCAAAGTATGAAGACCGACTACTGCAATGTCTACTTCATGCATCGTTTAAGAACTTGTGAAAACTATTCAAATGTTAATACTAGAGGGTATTTATTTCTGGAATTACTAACGGAAGAAATTTGATTATTTGAAATATCATTAGAATGAGATAACAGAGCATATATGTTGGACTATTTGCATACCCCCCCCCCCCCCCCCCCCCAATTGAGCAATGCTGCATTTACATTAAAATCGATTCTGAACCAGAAAGAAATTGGGAGGGCCTAGTTATTTACACCACAACCGAACTGATGACCGGTTAAAGAATTGGAATTGGGACTCGGATCCAACCTTAAGCAAGTTCTTTTCCTTCAAAGTGACCAAACTGGCTAGTTGTTTAGCCCACTGTTTTGACCCCAAATTTATGGTTCTGAACCTTCGTGGAACTTGAACTGGACACGTCCTATAATAACAATAATAATCTAAAAGGAAAACACAGTTTTTAATGGGCCAAACGAGAATTGGAATCAGTATTTCATGTTTTAATGCGGTTCCCAGGTCGGAAATGGTCAAATGGGTTGCTGTAAAAATATAATTAAACAATGGAAGACTGATAATTAGTAAAGGTTCACAGATGGGCAGAGTCTGTTTCTGGTTCCTAGACTGGCATCTGGCTAGTTCACGGTTTGGGGGTGGTGAGACCGACTGCACTGATAGTCTGATACTAGTGATGGACCCGGGCCGGGCCAAGGCCCGGTCGGGCCTCGGGTCTGGTATAGGTTGGCCCGGGACCGGCCCGGGCTATGGCCGGTTCTGGTTCGGGCCGGGCCACCCGGCCGGGTGACGGTTCGGGCCACCCGCCGGTCCGGGCCGGTTCAATTGTTTTTAAATATTTATATATTATACAAATTCCTATTAAAAACAAAGTTCAAGTGCCTTTATTTGAAATAGGAACTACATTTGAGAATTGAGAAAAAAATAACAATACGAAATACATTTTCTAATAAATATCAACTGGGATTTCCGCCACCGTTAGTTGTTGTTTTGGCTTTGTCACATGACTTCATATGTTATTAGCATCTCGTATCCGTGTGAACGCCCCAAGTGGCCAAGCTAGACTCTTTCTTGCACCACTTGCAAGTTGTCCACCACAGTCCGGTCTTCGGGTCCTTCCACTTATCAAAATTGTTTTGCATAAGGGAAGATGTACTTTCCATCTTTAAAATGGTATATGTATAAGTAGGAATGTAGGATAATAAGTGAAGATGAAGATGGAGAAGAGTTGGAGAAGAGGTGTAGAAAAATGTTAGAAAATAGATGTATTTATAGATGTTTTTGAACCCCACTCCCCACACCACCACCACCGGGACCCCCCTGCCCCCCACCCAAAGCCCCAACGGCTATATAGCCGTTTGGGAGGTTTGTTTTAAAAAAAATAAATCTTTTTTTTTAAGTTATACATATTATAAAATAAGTTAATTAATTTAATGAATTAAGTAAAGCTATTTGTACTTAGAAAAGTGGTTTGATTTATAATTTACAAATGTTACAAAATAGGTGTATAAGTATTTAAACAAATTACATATTGTAAATGTATTTTTAATTTAAAAACCGCCTTTAGATTTTAGAAAAATAATTTTAAGTCGTAAGTTTGTAACCAATTAATTAATTTAAGAAGTGCTACATATGAAAAATGAACGCATATTTATTTGAAATATAAAGTACAAGTTTACAAATTAATTTGAAGTACAACTACAAATTTACAATTTTGAAATATGAAGTACAAGTTTACAATTTTGAAATATGAAGTACAAGTACAAATTAATTTGACAAGTGCTACAAAATACTTTTTATAATAAATTCTAAAATACTAATCAATCGGAATCTCCGGCATAGGTAGAGCCACCATCGGTTGTTGAGTCATCCATAAAATCTTGGGAGAGGGTGATGCTCATTTCTTGAGTTCTACGTGCGGCCTTCAACCAATTGTGTGGTAGCATATAAGCGTCTCAAGAGAATCTGCGCTCAATCTCGATCTAGATGCCATTAGGACGTTGCCGGCCGAACTAAATTCTTGTTCCACAGCAACTGTTGAAACCGACATTGATAGTACTTGCTTAGCCATCCGTGCTAAAATCGGGAACATTCTTTCTTTTGACTTCCACCAGTCTAGAACGTCAAAGTCATCATTTTCTTCAAAATCAACTTCATATGTTAAATGCAAAGTAATCTCATTCAATGCGCTTTGTTCAGTGACATGAGTTGTTTTAGTTTTTTTCATAAGATTGCCTAATGAAGATTTAAAAATCGATTTTCCTTTAGATGAAGATGTTCGTGACGGGGGAGGGGGAGCGTTACTATATTGTGCACGAAACTCATTAAATAAGGCATAAAATAAAGCACTAACCTCGTTGTATTATGTTTTCGGATCTATGGGGTTATCGTCGTACATTGGAAATTCACCAAAAAAAGCAAGATAATAGAAGTTGAAACAATCTTCCAAATTAGCTAGTCTAAAATGAGGATCGAGAATAAATGCAATACCATAGATATGGGGAATATGCGCATAATATTTTAAAAACTTTTCCTTCATATAATCACAAAAATAACTCACGAAAAGTTTATAAACATGACTAAAAGTTTCAGTTGCATTAAAAAAATACATCAAAACATTACAAATTTTTTCGCAAGTGTCGATCTCAGCCGAGTTTATAATATAGTTATCATGTTGTTTTAAAAAGCAGGAAAATGTTCTTTATATCTAAGAACAACTTTAAGTAATTTATAAGTACTATTCCAACGAATACTCAAATCTTTAGGAAAAGCAACATATCTCACACCTCTTTCAGTCAAATAAGTTTGCCATTTTAATCTAAGTTGACCATTACCCCAAATACGTCTAATCCCCCCTTCACTACCTCCATAGCATCTCCTAATGCTTTTAGACCGTCTTGCACACATAAATTTATAACATGGCATGCACAGCGTTGATGAAAAAATCTACTCATCAAAGTATTGGCACCACACAATTCACGCAATCTAGGTATTTCAGCAATATTATTAGTAGCATTATCGGAACCAATAGCAAACACCTTATCAATCAAATTATACTCAATTAAAATACGCTCAATCAAAATATAAATATGTTCAGCGGTGTGACGATCATTAAATTCACGAAAAGCAAGAACACGTTTATACATATTCCAATCCTCATCAATATAATGTGCAGTCAGACCCAAATAATATAAATGATGGAAATCATCCTCCCATATGTCAGAACAAATAGTAACGCGCCCATCAAAGTTTGCAAAAAAAATTGTAACCTTGCCTTTTCCGCACTATAAAGCCTTATAATTTCTTTCTTAACAATTTTGCGACTATAATTTCTAAATTGAGGATTTAAACTACCTTGTGCATAATCTCTTAAAGCAAGACTTTCAGAAAACATATAAGGCAAATTTTCTTCACAAATTAAGTTAGCCATACCAGTCAAATTTTGTGCATCATTGTAGGAGAAATTACCAAAAGGTTGAGAATTCGCAAACCTCAATATTTGAGTTTGCTTCCCCGTTCCCCCGCCTAATTTTGCATACTCCACAGGGTGCTTTGCCTTAAGATGCCTTGCGGCGGATCCGTATCCGCCGGAGGTCCCCAAGCTGCTGGCACCCTCCTCCTCGGCCGTCTCCGGTTCCATTTCCTCCGCATCTTCACCCTCAAGCTCCTCTTCGTCAATGGTCGTCGGGATTTGTTGTTGTTGTAGAAAGCGGTTATTATGTCGGACCAATTCTTGTTGTAGTTGTTCTTCGGACATCGCATCTCCATCTCGCCTTTGGTAACCCGTTTCAAAATCATCTCGGCTTTGAGATGAAGAGCCAGCAAGTTCTTTACCTTTGCGGGATTTCTTCCTCCCAATCTCGTTCCTTCGATTGCGTTGGAGGTTACCCAAATCAACCGAATATCTACCACCTTCCATCTTAAAAATGTAACAAATATTAATTGGAAACAAATATAATAATGAATACAAAACTAATGCAACTAATTAAAACTATTTTAATTAATACTTCAAACTAATTTAGTGCAAAGTAGAATTAATGTGTGACTCTAAAATTAAAATTATAGCAGCTTTTCAAGTACTTTAATTTAGTAAAAACTACTTAAATAAAATGTTAAGTACTTTAATTAAATGATTGAACTACTATTTTTTCGTTCAAATATAAATTGAAAATATTATAATGTGACTTTAACTATAATGACAATTAACTAGTTTTTTGAAATAGAGTTGTTTTAACAATTAATGGGAATACTAATGAACTAATTAACTAGTATAATGAAAAATGTAACAAGAATACTAATGAACTAATTAACTAGTATAATGAAAAATGTAACAAGAATACTAATTAACTAGTATAATGAAAAATGTAACAAGAATGCTAATGAACTAATTAACTAGTATAATGAAAAATGTAACAAGAATGCTAATTAACTAATTAACTAGTATAATGAAAAATGTAACAAGAATGCTAATTAACTAATTAACTAGTATAATACTAGTTATAGTAACTAATATATAATATAATGTTTATAGTATATAATATATAAGTATACTACTATAAGATGAGTAATACACTTATATTTTATACTTTAATATATAAACTATATATTAAGTAGATGTAGAATGTATGTATTAAGTGGATATAATAATTGTATAAGAATTAAATATTAGAGTATAATGGAGAATTGGAGATTGGAGAATAAGAAAATAAATATATATGAAATATAAGTAGAGAAGTAGATATTATTATGTATTAAGTATATAGTAATAGTTTATAAAGTATATTTAATACTTTAATATATAAAGTATATATTAAGTAGATGTAGTATGTATAAGTAAATATATATAGTATATGTATTTATAAGTAGATAATTAATATATAAGTAGATATAATAATTAAGTAATATAGTATATGTATTTATAAGTAGATAATTAATATATAAGTAGATATAATAATTGTATAAGTATTAAATAGTAAAATAAAATATAATGGAGAATAAGAGAATTTGAGAAGATGAATATGGAGATGAGTAGAGAGTGGGATTTAGGGAGAGTTGGAGAAGAGGTGTGAAAAAATGTTATAAAATTAGGAGTATTTATAGGTTTTTTTTAACCCCCACCCCCACCCCACCCCCCACCCCCACCCCACCCCCCCACCCCCCAAAGGCCCCGGACCCCCCTTGGTACCCACCCAACGGCTATATAGCCGTTCGGGAAGTGGGTCAAGAGCCCAAAAGGGTTTTTCTAAATAAAAGGAATTTTTTTTTTTTAAAAAAATGGACCGTTAGGCCCGGGCCCGGCCGGGCCGCCAAAAACAACACCCGAGCCCGGACCCGCCACCCCCACCGGTTCGGTGCCCGAACCGGACCCGGACCTGAGAACCGGGCCGGTTCCGGGCCCGCACAGTAACGGGCCGGGCGGCCCGAACCAGGTCCATGACT